AACCTTTAGAAATATAGATTTATTATAGCCAGACATGTCTGTTGTTGATAAGATTGTGCCAGACGTAATTTTTTATTTAAAAAAATATTATTTTTCTAATCATTTGAGTAAAGCTCAAAATTGAATATGATGTTGTTTAAGTACTAATTAATCTAAACCTAATTCGCCAGATATTAACTCGGTGGCTAAAGCGAGATCCAGATCGATTTAAAGCTGAAAAGTATTACGCTGGTAGTGAGGGGATAGTTGCAAAATAGTGAATTTTCATAGGATATTAGTATGAAAACTGGAAGCTACAACTACTTATCTAACGTTATAACATTAATTTAATTGGAATATCAAAAATTTATTTTTTTTTTCAAATACATACACATGATACAAAAAACAAGGTAGTTCCATTGTCACAGTTTCGTCGCCATATTAACAACCTGACTATTAAGCAGATTGTGACATTTCGTGCTACCAGACCCAATATCTAATATCCTTCAAATTTTCTTATTAATTTTTTGTCGATTTAAAAATCTTTGTTCTTAAGCATAGTATTTTATTCCTATTTCACGTGAAAAAGCTGTTAAATTGCATATAAAATTTCTTTCTGTGAAATAAGTGTGAAGTTCCACAACATTTCCTCAGCAAAGTAGTATTCTGTTCACGCTGTGAAAAAGCTTGCAAAATTTTTGCAAAATGAACCTAGCAACACAATTTTCGTGACATTTTTAAATACACATGTACATTTCAAATTGTGTGAAAGCTGACAGTTTATAGAATTCAGTAGCGGCGAAAACAAAGGGGGGTTGAGTGGTTAAACCTCCTCCAAGCCGATCGTAAAACTTGCGATGCAATTTCAGCTTATGCCTGTCGGTCTTGGCAAGAATGTAATCCTTCAAGGTTTAGCTTAACATGGTTCTAGTGATACACCCTGTGATCATGTTACTTTCCAGAAGGTGTCGCGCCCGTTTTTCTGTACATATTTCCATTGGAAAAATGCCTCATTTCAGTATTCTAGGTAAATGCTTCCAGCGGTATCTATGCGTCACCAGAATTTTAGTTTATATGGCTTATACCGCTAGCTCTCGTAGCTGGCTACGAGATCGTTTTCATATACCCCAATTTTTCATAGGTTTGGGATTGATTTCATTTACCTCTATTCCAAGTTCTACGGTGGCGCGCTGCATTTTCCAATAAACCCATATTTTTCCAAGAGCTTGAGATTGACTTCATATCTATCTATACTATACTAAATCTAATCTCCGGAACTACTGAATATATTTTCATGGGGCTTCAACTGGTATATAGGGAGTGACCTCGGACGTAACCGATGCACCTCCCATAGGCGTGACATTTTTAATCAACCATAACTTCGGAATCATACGTCACATGAATTTGAAATTCTGCTCTGCATCGCAAAAAATGGTTCCGACTGATGGCGCCGGAGTCGAGATATTTAGAGACCCCGTCTTTATCGTATTACCAGGAGTAACGGGTATTAACTTTATGATAAAAATAATACGGTAGGAATATCAATGATTAAGAAGAATACGGTGGGTACGGTGACCCCGTTTGAACGGGTAAACTTTCATCCTGGGAACAGGAGGATTATAGAAGATTACGCGCTCTTGGCAATCCTTGCAATACGTACAGATATCTCACAGGTGGAAATAAGAGCTCATAACATCGAAGAAGATAAGTAGTTAACCCAAATGTAATCTCAGCGCTATTATTCTTGGCCTATGAGTAAGCAAGGTTCTGCTCTTTAGTCCTATCAACCCAAACTAATAAATTTTTCATTACAAACCGTTTTTGCATAGCAACCATATTTTTGTATTGGTCAACGTAAAAGTTCTTATAAGGCGTCGAGAAGCAAGCCAGGCATTTGCTAGTGCATACATATATCCATACCAAGTTCCAGAACTCTACCACAAATACTTTTAGAGATATGCACTATGAGCAATTCGATTTGTATGGGAGGTTCCACACCCCCTTTAGATATCGGTTTTGTTTTAGCCTATAACCATTCTTGAAAGATTTGTGTGCGAAATTTTTAAAAAATCGGCATAGCCGGTATGGGCATTGTGACTCCTCAAAGGAAATGAACTAATGATTGCAAAAAATTAAACCAAACATCGTAGTTGAAGAAAAAAGAACATTAGACTTCATTCTCCCAACTTCTCAGAATGTAGAAGAGCTAAGAAATATATAATAAGATATGATATATTAAAACAGAATCCAGAACATATATCAAAAGACGCCCCTGAACTACACAAATCAGTTTGATTGAAAATTTGTTTTTATCTATCTATATTAATAAAAATGTTGTGTTCGTACATATGTCACGGTCGTCAAAACTCGAGAACGGCTGAACCGATTTGAATAATTTTTTTTTGTATTGTTCGGTATAGTACCAGAACCAATGATATCGCAAAAAATTGGAGGGTTGCCACCTATTTGAAAATTTTTAAACCCAAATATATTGATAAAATAAATAAATTATTGCAATATGGGTATCACATTAAAGAGGTTTAAGAAAGATAGCTGCTGGAAATATTTTTGACGGGGGTTGCCACCTATTTGAGAATTTTAACTCAGTTAAGTTGATTAAGTAAATGAAATATTGCAATGTGGGTATCAAATTAAAGAGTGTTAAGAGGGCTTACAGCCGAAAATATGTATGATTAGGGTTGCCACCTGTTTAAAAGTTTAACTAAATTACAATATTGGTATCAAATTAAAGAGGGTTAAGAAAGATAACTAATAGAGATATTTTTTCTGCAACCTATTTTAAAATTGTTACTCAGTTAAATTGATTAAATAAACGAAATATTGCAATGTGGGTATCAAACTAAATAGTTTTAAGAAGACTTACAGTCGAAAATATGTTTGAGGAGGTTTGCCACCTGTTTGAAAATTTAACTCAATTAAATTGATAAAATAAATGAAATGTTACAATATGGGTACCAAACGAAAGGTATTTGAAAAAACTTGATTTGCAAATATTCTAAATAGGATTATGCAATATGTAAAATATTGAAATTAAATGAAGTATTATAACTGGTTCGAAACGGAAAGTGATTGGGAAAGCTTTACTAGAGAATTTTTTTTAATGTTTCTACTTATCCAAATCCGGACAGTTTGAAAAAAGAGAATTTACGATATCTTATCAAACGAAGTGATAAGTTGGTATACAAATTACGCAATGGAAAAAAAATTAATAAAAAGTTACGGATACAAATGAAGAAATGATAAAAAGCGTAACGAAAACATAAAACTATCCCGTGAAATGAAATAATGAAAACTTATAATTGTTGTCACCATTCTTTTACATTATAAAACAGTCAAATTTGAATTATAAACAATTTCGTTCGGTCGCCATAGCGCCATAGGTTAAAACATAGGGGAGCGGCGAGTGAAGAGGAGAGCTTTCATCGAGCAAAGCTTCAATTAAAAAAGTGTGTGTACGCTTTGCTCTTCAATATACGCTCTCCCCATATATGTAATACTTCTATATTGGCAGCAGCGTTGCCAGGTTAACGTTTTTAACGTCATTTGGACGTTGTTTGTATCCTGTTGACGTTTGGACGCTTTTTGTGTAAAAAATTACGTTTTTTAATTTCCCAGTAATTTTTCTTTGTTACTAAATCTTGTAAGTAGAATTATTTAGAATTATTTTATTAATAAATCTTTACAATCTTTGTGTTTTGCTGCAGCTGCTTCAAAAGATATTTATTTTTTTGGACACATATGACTTAAATATGATGCAAAAGCCTACGCTCATTTTTTGGATTCTTGGACTAAGGATCCCGTGTTCAAAGGCTGGTTGTGTAAACACTTGAAGTTATGAGGCTTGTTGTAATGTTTGCAATAG